AGTTTGAATCACAAAGGATTTCACATTATGAGGTAGGTTAAAAATAATTGAAGTAGGATCTAAAGCAGGTTTTTGAATGTAGCAAGTAAACTTCATATAAGTCATCTGATTCTTATGAGAATCCTGTGAAATAGGTGATATTATTTCTCTTTGATGGATAAGAAGGCTGACTCAGGGAGGGGCAGTCATGTACTTCCTCAAGTTTGGGGAATTTGGAATTAAACTCGGACCATTTGACTCCAAAGCTTGTTTTCTTCACACCATTCTGCCTCCCTTTGTATGTCTCAAGCCACTATACCATTCATCCTTGTAGTAAAGACAAGGGAGGAATTATGAAGTTCACATGGGAAACTATTAATATGAATCAAGGGATATTATATAGAACTTTCAGTCTTCCTTTACAGTAAATGAAGACTGTAAAAATAAAATGAACTTGTCTTGCACTTGACTTAACCACTTGTTTCTAGGCCCAGAACCATAGAATTCTAGAGATAAAAGAAAGACTGTTTAATGTCCTTACTCTCTTAGTTTATAAGTTAGAAAGCTGACACTCAGAAAGCCAGTAATTCTCCACAGCTAGTCATTGGTATGACTAAGCCTAAAAATGATTCCTTCTGATTTCACTGGCATTGTCTCACATGTCAGCATCATCAGATGAGCTACTGGATTTCTTTCATTTCTGGAATCTGGGTTACCAAAAGTACTAGATACATATACTTCAAATAAATGTAATGCCGATTCTACTTTTTTAAACACTTCATCTAGTTTTGTCCTCTGCTAACCTTATTGGCAATTGTATTTTAGTCCTTATGTTGATTGGAATTAAATTGCTATAATTACATGATGTTTACAGTTTAAAATTCTGTAGGGAGAATGATTGTCTCACATGTGCTCAGGAAATGTTAGTTTCCCTTCTCCCTATACCAGCATGTTTGTTATTCTTATATACTTGGTTATACAGTTGTTCAGAGATTATTTCTAATTTGACTTAAACCTGAAGGGTTTATGTCCTTATATGAAATAATTTGAGAGGTAGGCAGTACAGGACTGATGTGACAGCTCCATGATATCATCAAGGACCTAGGTATTTTCTATCTTTCTGCTCTGATGAACTGGCTTTCTTCTTCAAGGTTCCCCTTGGTCTGAGATGACTATTGAACTCCATCCTTTGCATCTTAATTCCAGAAGCAGAAGGGAAGAAGGATAGAAAAAGGGCTTATCTCCCAGCCTTTTAGGGAGGCTTCCCAGAAGTTCCACATAACACTTGAGATTATATTGTATAGGCCAAAATCTAGTCACATGGCTACATGAAAGGCTGGAAAATGTCTTTTAGCTGGATACATTGCTCAAGATTTGTAACTAAGGAAGAAAACATGTGATACTCAGCAGCAACTAGAAGTTTCTGTCAGAAACAAGAATCTAAAGGTTATTGGCTTCTTAATTGTAGCATTATTTTTTTAATTGAAATGTAGAGATTTGAAAGCATGTGATACGCTTTCATAAACTTGGTACAGACCAAATATATTAAAACACATGAGTACTGTCAGTGAGGTGTAAATTCAGTGAGGTATAAATTTGGGGTGACTCTGTTATTGAATAAACAAAGTCATATTATATCTTTTTTCAGAGTGAAAAACATGCTCAAAATGTTAGTTTTTATTTTCGTATGCATGGGGAACAAAATGAAGTGCCTGGCAAGAGTACGAAGATGCATGTTGGGAATCTTCAGGTGAGTGGGCTATGTTGATGTCTTAATTCTAAACTTTGAGTTATCTAATCTTTCTAACAAGATTGTGCTTATTTCAGGTGTATGGGAACGAAGCAGTGGACAGAAACAAATTTTGTGATCTCTGCAACATGATTTTTAGCTCCCCAGTTGTTGCTCAGTCTCACTATATGGGGAAAGTCCATGGTAAAAAACTGAAACAATTAATGGAAGAACACGATCAGGTATCCCCTTCAGGATTTCAGCCAGAGATGGGTAAGGTTCCACTCACATCTTTATGTTCAATACAAGATCTGCCTATCATTTTTCCTAACTCTGCCATACATTTTTTATTGGGGACATTTTTTAAAATAACTTGGTTATTCTTTTTCTACTCATTTAATCTCTTTCTCTGTCTTTGTCATTTAATGGAGATTGTGCTTGCTAGCTGAATTTTTAGAAATGTTAGGACCTCTCCCTTTCAGTGATTTGCTCTGTTAGCTATAAAGCAACAATAATAAGCAGCTGGAACTCTTTCAGTTTCTAATCAAATCATAAAATCTTAGCTCGTTTTACTTTTCTTTTTTTGCTTTAGTACTTCCCAGAACATTATCTCATATGTGTGTTCCAATCAGTGTCTTCACCATAATATAGTTATGGATGCAGTGTTTCCTGACTGTTAACTGTAGGCAAAAATAAATAAATATTACTGAACTTCCTTCTACTCTGACAGTCTATTCCTTTCTTCCTATGAATATGAAGAAAGAAGTACCACCAGCGTCATCAATTGTTACTGAATACTTATTTTATCTTAAATCCTACAGATACAGAGAATTAAAAAATATTGCCTCTTTCATCCTTCCAGTGATGTTGGGCCACCAGTGCATATGAGCAACCTGACCCAAAGTTGCCTGAAATGGCAGAGTACAACCTGGGAAATCCAAATCATATTTTTAAAAACTTGTGTGATAGAATAAAAAAAAGATGGTTAATCCTCTGGAATAAAAAATTTACCATATTGTTATTAGCTTCAACACTTTAGGGCTAAGGCAGGACTAATTTTCCATGCCTGGCATGGAAAATTCACTAACATTTATTTCCAACTTACAGTGTAGGCATCACCCAACGAAATCAGTGACACAAAATAAATTACTAAAACTTACTGTTTTCTCAATAAACAAAACCAGAATTATTTTTTAAATTTACTCTAGTCTCTCTAATTTTTGTATGTTTCTTTTTCTGCCTGTCCTTCTAAAGAGGGAAAATTATCTGTGTGCTCTATAATAGAAAGCATCTTGTAAAAGCCTTATCCTCAGTCTCCAAAAATTCACCAATTTGGGCTCAGAGAGAAGAATAAATGAAAAAGCTATGAGATAACTGGAATTTTAGGAACCTGTATAATTTTGTAGTTTTAAATAATTGTATAGATTTTATTCTGATGCAAACATCACAAATCTAGACTGAGTGGATGTCCTAATATGTTACTCAAGAAAGTCACCAACTTAGAAGTTTCAAAGAATCATCCTAAGATGGCTCTCATGCTTTCATTGATTCTTTAAATGAATGTTTTTAGGCAATATCTGATGAAAAACATTCCTTCCTTTCCATGTCTTTATTGGAAAAACTTGGTGACAGATTCATATTCAAATTTTCATTGTCACAGAAGGAAATTCTTTTTGTCTTTTTTTTTTTTTTTGAGACAGAGTCTTGCTCTGTTGCCTGGGGTAAAGTGCCATGGTGTCAGCCGAGCTCACAGCAACCTCAAACTCCTGGGCTCAAGCAATCCTGCTGCCTCAGCCTCTCAAGTAGCTGGGACTACAGGCACGCGCCACCATGCCCAGCTAATTTTTTCTATATATATTAGTTGGCCAATTAATGTCTTTCTATTTATAGTAGAGATGTCGTCTCGCTCTTGCTCAGGCTGGTTTCGAACTCCTGACCTGGAGCAATCCACCTGCCTCGGCCTCCCAGAGTGCTAGGATTACAAGTGAGCCACTGCGCCCAGCCTCTTTTTGTCTTGAGTACCTTTATCCAGCAACCTTCTGCTAAAAAAGTTTAGAGAGTGGATTTTTTAGAGAGTTCTATATTTCCATAATACTCTACAATAAGTGTAGCTCTAACATCTGAACACATGTTGATCACTTCTCATTACGACTATTTCAGCAGGTGTGCCTATTCCTACTTCTGCAGAGTCAACCTTCCCGAAGCCCCCTGCTGTCAAGCCTCCTCCAGGTGGGATTAAAGACAAGACTATGCCTTCTTCTTCCAGCAGTGCTTTGGATTTGAATAATCCAAACAAATATTGCAAGCTCTGTCCTGCTTCCTTTAATAGTCCAATAATGGCCCAACAACATTATGTTGGGAAAAAACACAAAAGAAATGAAGCTAGGAAGACGTTTGTAGACAAGATAAGAGAGAAACCTCTTCCAGCAAAATCAGATGCAAATGGTAAACAGTAAAATTATCCCAAAACTCTTTGATAAGAAGTTGATATTTTATACAACATACTAGCTGATTTATATATCATTTTACTCTTCTTGAGTGAGAAGTTGATAGTATTCATGGAGTCATAGAATTTTAGATAAGTAAGGACTTTCGAGTCCACCTAGCTTTATCTGTTTGTTTTCTAGAAAATGAGATCCAGAATGGTTTAGATGACCCCTATTAATTTTATAATCAAATATAGCTATTCCTATGGTTCCATGTGATCTTAGGAACATAAGGAAGTATTTTAAATTAGTATCATGAGAAAAAATTGGTATCATGTGGTTATATCATTTACTAAGTATGGTTTAAGTATCTCTTGGGATCTAAGCTACTTATTCTTGGGAATACAGATGAGAATATACTATTTTTCCTGAAGGAGCAAGTGTGTAAACTAGTTGGGTTAATAAGACTTCATCGCAAGAGGCTACAGACGTGGATTTTTATGTACATATTTTTGGTAACTAGAGGAATGAAGCATCATGGTCCAGAAAAAATCTTCATAGATTTTTATGATTTCAGTTGATAGAAATGGGAAGGAGAAAAGATGAACAAAAGGGCTTGGAACTAAGAAAGAATGACAGAATTCAGGCACAATAAAGAGAGTTATCCTGACTGAAGTGATCCACTTGCTCTTCTAACCATATTTTTTTTTCATTTTTTTCCCCCACAGGCATCTTCTCACTACTAGTGTATTTTATTCCCCTTTCATATTCTCTCTTCCACCCACTTCTTTTCCTTCACTCACTGTTATTTTTCAGTTCTTTCCCTATTAGATCTTTCTGCTTCATGTGAAAATGCTTATTACTCCCTCCTTTTTGAAACTGTATTCTTTGTCATATGTAACTCCTTATGCTCTGGTTCTTCTGTGTTTCTGTTTCTTTTCTGTTTTCTTTATGGGATCTATTTTTATTCATTACCTAGATCTAGATATTCTCATGGTTCCATTCTTGACCTTACTCTATAAACATGATTTAATCTCTTCCCCTGGTTTCATCACTCATGTGTATGCTTATGACCTTTCTGTCAAGTCTTAGACTCACATATCCAAATGGCAGCTACTGCTTCACCTGGATGCCTCATAGCTATTTCAGGTCCACTAAGTTGTTCTAAGTAGAAACCTGTAGTTAACTGTGAACCCCCCCAACACCACCTCCTTCACCTTCTATATTTAATGAATCACCAAGCTTCATTTACCTCCTGAACATTGCTGTACCCTTCTCTCCAGCCCTGCTTTTCCCACACTAGTTTAGGTCCTCAACATCTTTCCTAGAGCTTTATTACTCAAAGTGTGGGTTGTGGATCAGCACCATTGGCATCATGTGGGAGCTTGTTAGAAAAAAGAATCTCAGGCCCCACTCAATGCAGACATACGGAATCAGAATCTGTATTTTAACAAGATCCCTAGGTGATTTGTACCCATTAAATTTTGAGATGCGGTATCCCAGAGTATTGTCACAATCTCCTACCTACTCTCCCTGCCTCCAGTTTTATCTACCCAAATTCACCCTCAATTTAACCACTAGAGTGTTTTCACTTGAAATATAAATATTTCCATGTCATTACCCTTCTTTAAGACCCTTCATTGTTTCACCTTTCATTGTTATCTTCGACGGATAAAATCTAAGCTCCATAGCTCTACCATCTTGTTTCTGCCTGCCTTCTCCAGGCTTATTCCCTGGTACTTCCTTCCATGATCTGTGTGGGTCAGTACCTGCAAACTGCTTATGGTTTCCAGAAACCATTACCCTGTTTTTTGTCTCTATCCCCTTGTTCATGCTGCCACTTTGCCTGGAATATCCCCATAACCCTCTTCTCCTGACTAACTCCTACTCATATTTTAACATACTGCTGCTGCCTTTTCATTTCTTTCAAGGCTAATCTTCTGTGATTCCTTAACCTGCATATATAATTATCTCTCTACATATCTTTCTCCCATTAGGGTGTAAGGTCTTTGAGGGAAGGAACTTCATCTAACTCATCTATATTTCCAGTGCTAGAGATGGAAACTGGCACAGAAGTAGGCCTACCTTAATAGAGATTAATTTAATATATGAATCAGTGAACTATTAATTACGCTTTATTTATTGAGTGCTTACCCTATTTTTATACTATTTCATTTTCCTATTTAATGTGATCCAACATATCTCAAAAAGTTACACAGAGATAAACATTTTTATCTGGGATTTTAAAGAATGTTGATTTCAGCAAGTGTAAAAATAGAAGTGATAGGGCTTCTGAAAGTAGGAGTAGAGATGTATGGTGAAATGACAGACTTCCACTTGTTAGGGTATATTTCCTATTGCTGGGCTGAGGGTATCTGAAATAAGTACCTTCTAGTTTAGTGGCATTAGGTAAATTTGAACTGAATCAGCTATGAGAAGCACTCTTGTCACTTCTAAAGGGGGAGTGTAATTTTGGCACTGCAGAGTTTCAAGGTTATTAGATGAGGGAAGAAAGATTTTGGAGAAATTTTCATCTGATGATGGAGGAGAGGGATGGTCATCAGCATCATTTAATTCAGTCATTGAAAGCATTCTATGTTAGCCTCTGAAGCTAGAGCTCAAAGAACAAATTTTCAACCCTGCCTTGACTATTTCATTTCAAGAGCAGTAAATAATTTGAATATTAAAAAACAACTGGAGAATTTAAATTAGTTAATGAGAATTTGAAAGAACAGTAACAGCAGAAGCCCATATTAATGTTAGCAAGTGGTAAAAAAACAATTTAACATATGCCACCTTAACTATTTCACTCTTCCCTCATTTTCTTCTTTCTGTCTTTGCCTTTCTTTCCATCTGCCATTATTTTTATGTTTCTCCCATATCTAATCTCTTTCTCTTTTTCTTCATCATTCTCACTGCTTTCTTCATGTCCCTCATCCAGCCCAGATCTTATTAGCACAGGAATGGCTACCATAACGATATGGAACTAAAGTATGTATGTATTTTTTATTTATTGTATTTGTTTTGTTTATCTTACTAATTTCTAGCCCCATTATTGCACTTAGATGTCTTACCTTCACCTGTAACTCAACATATCTAAAATTTAATTAATAATCTTCTCTAAAACCAACTGAATTTCCCCCGTTTTCTGTCTTTGCCAGTAGTTCCACTGTTAGTTACCTACACTTGAATCTTTGAGGGTATCTTTGTCTACTTAATTCCCTGTATCCTATCCATCAGCAAGTCTTATCAAATCTTTTTGGCACTATTTCTTCTTTATGCACTGTTTCATTATGTTTCTACTACCATCACCTCACACCTTAATGCTTCTGGAAAGCATTACTTGTACCTCATTGTTATTCTCTCTCTCCCTAGTAGCAAAATTTCAACCGTGAATCAGTTCCGCTCTTCACCTTTTCTACTTATACATTCAGACCTCCTGAGTGCTGCTATGGAAAAGTATCTAAGTCTAGAAATTGGGTACTTCTTCAGAGCCTTGGTATCCATCCTCTTTGGGCTTTTAGTCCTACTTAATCATTTTTCTTTTCCTTCACTTTCTCATTAGTGATGATTTTAAACCTATGTCATTCTCCAAGACTCTCTTCCCCTGCTCTACATTCCCCCTCCTCACACGTCTGACAAGCTTCTTATTTCATCAAGAAAAATTTGGCCATCAGATGTGGATTACCAGGTATCTTGCCTTACCCAAATCCTTTTGTAACCCTGAGTTGCCCTTTAACTACTACACTTTTCCCCTTCCCTTCTCAGCCAAGCTTTTTTTCAATGTAGTCTATTCTTAGTGTTTTCACTTGTTATTCACTCCTCTAAGTCATTGCCATTTGTTGGCACACATTCCCCCAGTTTTTACACTGCCACTCTACTACTCCACTGAAACTACTGCTCAAAGGGTCAGAGTGACCTCTAAATTTTTAAATCCAATGAACATCTTTATTTATCCTTTGACATCATTCTCTCCTCTTTATCTTTATATCTCTCTGTCATTTACTTGGTGGACTTTCATGGGTTCCGCCTTCTCTGCCATCTTAGTTTAAAGAGTGGCACTCTACAGGGTTTTATCATTATGTTGATATTCCTGTGCCTACGCATACATTTTTCTCAGGAAATTTAATCCACTCTGATTATTTTGACTACTTCCATGTTCTTACATCTCCAAAATCTCTCTGACCTATCTTCTGCCTTTCAAACTCATATATGTAACTGCCTGTCGGACACCTTTACAGGAAAGTTTCAGAGATATCTCAGACTCTGTGTGTTCAAACTTATGTTCACCATTACTTACTCTTTCCCCTAAAACAATACTTCCTGCTGAAGTTCCAATTTCAGTTAATGGGGTCACCACCCACCCAGTTACCAAACTAGGTTTCTGGGAACTATTTTAGACTCCTCTAGATTCCTTCCCCCCCCCCCCATCCCTCGTGTTCAATCAAGTCACTAAGTTTTGCTAGTTGTTTTTTTTCTGAGACAGAGTCTCACTCTCTTGCCTGGGCTAGAGTGCCGTGGCATCAGCCTAACTCAGCAACCTCAAACTCCTGGGCTCAAGTGATCCTCCTGCCTCAGCCTCCTAAGTAGCTGGAACTACAGGCACACGCCACCGTACCCGGCTAATTTTTTCTACTTTTAGTTGTTTCGCTAATTTCTTTCTATTTATAGTAGAGACAGGGTCTCACTCTTGCTCAGGCTGATCTCGAACTCCTGAGCTTAAGCAGTCTTCCCACCTCGGCCTCCCAGAGTGCTAGTATTACAGGCATGAGCCACCGCACCTGGCTAAGTGTTGCCAGTTTTAAAGTTAAATATCTCACCAGTCTCCCTTTTTTTCTTTACCCCTACTGAGACCCTTCTAGTCCATGTCCTCATTATCTCTTGCCTGGTCTAGTGTATTCACCTCATAACTGTGGTCTCCTTATTCCTAGACTTGCCCCTCTTTTTATCCTCTGTATTGCAGCCAGAGGAGAGATTCATCTAAAACACACAGTTGGCCAACCATGTCATTTATTATTTATACCACTTCAAGATTTCCCAGAGCACAGAATAAAAAATCTAGACTCCTTAGCATAACATGTAAGTCTTTCTTTGATCTGATCCCTTTTTGCCTCTTCCCATCTCATCCTTTTGCTTTTAACTCTATAACATTTCCAAGAAGTTCCTATGAACACTTTTGTACTTTTTTGCGTTCTATTTTCTGTGCCTACAATGGTCTTCTCAACTTTTTCAGCAAGTTAACCATTTTTCATCCTTCCAGGTTTAGCTAAGTTATCATCTCTTCCAGTAGCCTTCTTCAGACCCCCATATTGTGCTGAATTTCTCTGCTTCTTTGCACTCCCATACCTCTTAAGCATGTCTCTCTTACTTGTAACAAGTGAGACTGAAATCCTTTGTTCACATAATCTTTCTCACACTGGACTTGTGGACAGCCTGGCTGTTTCATTCATTTTGTGTCCCCTAGCATCTAGCATGATGCTACATAGATACTCAGTATTTGTTGAACAGATTATTTGGATTCAGCTGTCATGTTCATTTCTGTCTCTACCATACCTGATATTGTTTTCATCCCCTGGAGTGCCCTTATCTGCTTTCTTTATAATTCAAATTCTTCCTGTCCTTCAAGATCCATCACAACTCCCCTCACTGCTCAGGCTGTTGGTATTCTCCCCTTTCTCTGATTTCTCATAGGTTTTACTGTTCATTGACAATTACATCAATTGTAGCCCCTCAAGTGAATTAGCATCCTTGAGATAAGATATTATGTTTTCTTCTATAATATCCTTCTCAGTTCTTTATATGATAATGAGTACACAGTTTTTCTTAATTCATATTTGCTAATTGTTTATCGAGAGGCAGTATTGTATATAGGGATGAACATAAATTTAGAGATATACTTGAAGTCCCTTGCCTCAGATTCCTCAGATATAAAATGAAAATAATGCAACCACACAGGATTGAGTAAGGATGAAATAAAATAATATATAAGTACCCATCACAGAATAGGTTCTCAACAAATGTTAGGTTTTTAAAAACGTTTTATCCTCCTGTCACTCTAAAAACAGGTAAATTGGACATTTTCTATTTTTTTTGTAAGATAAACATTCAGCTGCAGTTTTACTTATATGTAACTCTCAGTTGGTTTATTCCCCCATTTAAGATATTAGACCAGTGGTTCTCAACCTTGACTACTCCTTAGAATTATGTGATAAGCTTTTAGAAATCCCAATGCTCCAGCCACATCCCTCCAGTCAATTAAATTACCATCTCTGGGACCTATGCATCAGTGTTTTGTTTTCTCTTTTTAAATCCCCGCATGATTCTGACTGGAGCCAAGATTGAGAACCACAATATTAGACTATAAAGACTTGCATTTCTGGACTCCACAAGTGTTAAGTTATGAAAGATTCTGAAAGGTATAAGATGCAAAAAAGCCTGAGTTTTTGGGTGAACTCAGAAACAAGGAATTCTAACAGGGCTGAGAGCAGGACAGCCAAAAGCAGGACAGGGCCAAGGAGATGTTTTGGGGATAAAGGAATGGAGAGTGTAAAAAACGTAATGGAGGCAGGTCCCACAATGGAGGATTTGACCAGGAATTCTGACCTTGAGGCCAGTGTAAAGGCTTTATATCATCACAGAAAAGGTTTACACAGTTTTCGTATATTATTTTCTGAGATGTTTATGTCCTTGAAGAAGATAAAGAACATCAGTGTGTGGAGAAGCTGAGGGCTAAGATGATGGTAATCAGACCACACAGTTCTAGAACTGCCTCTAGATCTTTCATATGTGACCAGCAGTTCTTCTAAGCCCCTGCATTACCTCTATTAAAATCTTACTTCTGATGGAAGTTTGGGGGAAACAGAGGAAGAACTGAGGAGGACACTATATAGAGTAAACTTTATAAGCACTAAATAAATGTATAAAACTTCTGAAATATAATCTCAGTTTATAATCATAATGAAGATCATTAGCTCAATAATCTAGGACAGGTGCACAACCATGGCTGGATAGTAAAGTTATCTGGAAAGCTTTAAAAAAGTAAGAAAGCCTGGTTCTACCCCTGGCGATTCAGATTTAATTGGATTGATGTGGAGCTGTAACATGAATATTTTAAAAGTTTTCCACATGGTTTTAATGTATAATCAGCACTGAGAAACACTAATCTAGAGGAAACCAGGACTCCTGCTTATCTTGCATAACTTGAGCACCTTCAAAACATGGTACTGGCTAAGTTAATCTGAGCTTAGTTTTGACACATGTAAAATAAAGATAGTAAGTATTTCATGAAAAGGGTTGTATGAAGATGCACAGTCCTGGATTTGGTCCTTAGCTTTGCAGGAAGTTCATAATCTTTAGAGTTGCTCAGCCTCAAATCAGGGACTCATAACACAAACAGACTTGAAAAAAGGCTGATAGATAACTGAGGAACTGGAAAGATATTTAGTATATTTCTCACAAAGTCTCTGATAATCACTTGCTTTTACTTGTTAAAATACAAATTCCCCATCGCTGTGAAAGACTGAATCGTGTTTTCCCAGGGAGGGGCCTGGGAATCTATATTTTAAACTGATACCCCAGGTGATTCTTATCAGAGAAGGCTGGTAAGCATTGTAATTTAATTTCATGTATTATCATTCTGGTATTGATTTATGGTAAAAGGAGATATGTATTTCCAGTTCCCAGTTTTTCTTGATGTCTGTCATCTATGGTATCCTTTTCTTAATATCAAAGAATATGGGAAATCGAATTATAAACAGAAAATGACTTGGTGAGCATGAAATCATAGCATGGAGAGGAAAGGTAATTTTGAAGAATCATTCATTCAGATTTTGACACAACCCGCTGAGCTCTCCTGGGCCCACAATAAAGTATATGTCAATACTGAGCAGAGTCTGTTTAAGTCAGCATTATTCTTTCTCTTTACCAGTAGTCTTACAATGTTTCTATGAATAATCTTTGTTCTGACATGGCCAATACACTTGATAATGATTAATTTAGCTTCCTTTAACTTATTAGGCTACTGTTTGATTTAAAAGAAGCAACCTTTTAAGAAAGACCTTGGTTGTCCCTAAAAATCTCTGCAACCACCAATTTATTGCCTCCCCCCTAGAGAGGTATTGTGTTTACGTTTGGCTTATGAAATTTATACTTTGCTTCTTCTGATCAAAGAGAAAGTAGAAGGATGATGAGATTAAGAAAATAAAACTTAATTTATCCCTGCTTCTAATTCTGCCTAAGAAGCAGAATAATTAGCTAGCTGGTCTATAGTTGCTCTGCTATAGTTCTTGACTCTTTGGAAATGGTAACTAGTAGTTACGTTTTAGAATTTTGCTTTCAGCTTTTATCCTGAGAGTGGGGCTCACTGAACCTCTCTCCTTTCTAAAATCTATGGAAATTACTTTTGGTAACTAATACACTACAGTGATTTCAGGTAAGAAGAGTAAAAATTGGCTTTTATTTGTTTTTAATCTTTTGGGATGTTTCAGGTTTTAGTTGGGTGGAAAGAAAGTTAAGGGCAAATAAAAAGAGGTTGGTTGAGCAATTCAGAAGCAAAGGTTGGTTGGGCATGCTGAATTTGAGGTGGCTACTGCACCTCCATGTTCCATGTTTTCCTCAAAATAAGACCTACCCATAAAATAAGCCCTAGCAGGATTTCTAAGCATTGGTGCAATATAAGCCCTACCCCAAAAATAAGACCCTAGCAATGGGCATGGCTACACAGCGTATCTGCACAACCCATGCATTTCATCGCGGAGCAGTAAAGAAGACGAGCAGCCCTCCTCATGTGCCCCATGAGAGCTCTATTGCTCGACATGAGAGATTGGGGCCAGTGGTTCTAAAGGAAATAGAGTCGCAAGAAATTCAGGATGGAATTCGGGGTTTGGAGAGTTATGATGATATTCCAGAAGAAGACGACTTAACTATATTTGAATAAATGTAGATTGTTGTACCGTACTTAAAAAAAATAACACATCCTTTGAAAATAAGCCCTAGGGCAGGCATTCTCAAACTGCGGCCCGCGGGCCACATGCAGGTGTTTTTGCCTGTTTGTTTTTTTACTTCAAAATAAGATATGTGCAGTGTGCATAGGAATTTGTTCATATTTTTTTTTAAACTATAGTCCGGCCCTCCAACGGTCTTAGGGACAGTGAACTGGCCCCCTGTTTAAAATGTTTGAGGACCCCTGCCCTAGGGTATCTTCTTGAGGAAAAATAAATATAAGACCCTGTCTTATTTTCGTGGAAACACGGTAGCAACAATAAGCAGGCAAATAGCAGATTCTTACAGAAGAGATCAAGGCAAGAGAAGCAGTGTGCTGTAGTGTAAACAATTCTGGGCATTAATTTAAGAGACATGGATTCTGAGAAGCTAACCCTACTACTAACTGACTCTGTGACTTTGACCAAGTCATTTGACCTCTCTGGGCAGTGTCTTTATTGGGAAATTTTAAGTAGGTGATCTCTAATAAATTTTTGTCCAGTTCTAATATTATGTGATTCTATGCGTATTTGTACTGACCTTAACTTGAACTCTCTGTTTTTTCAGCATTTAGTATGAGAACCTACGTTTGCCATATTTGTAGTATCACTTTTACATCTTTAGATATGTTCCGGCTCCACATGCAAGGAAGCGAACATCAAATTAGGTAAGTATTTTTGTCAAAATGTTCCTATGACACCAAATACCAGAGCCAAGCACACTTTCATGTGTTTTACAGTATTTCTAGGCATTCATTTCCCTATGAACCTGGATATGGTTGACAGTATTTGTAACATATTGTACACTAACATCTCTAATGGTGTTCTCTAGTCATGGTAGTGTACTGGCAGAGCTAGCTAACTGGGATCCTTCCAGACCTGACTGTTCTTTAGAGAAATGCTAGGATCACTCTCATGCTAACCACAAAAACTCAAAGAATCTCTGGAAAGTTGGCTTAGTTCCAGGGATTCAGTGATCCAGTCACTCTTCTAGTAAAGTGTAATGGTTAAGAACAGAAGTCTTACTGATGGACAAACCTAGGTTAGAATACCAGATCCATCTTTCTACCAAATATGTAACTTTCAACAGCTCTGATAAAAGATTGTTATGATGAAATATAGTATGTGTAAGGTTCCTGGCCTGGTACATAGTAGGAGCTTAATTAATGTTTTATCCATTCTATTCTATTATTTTTAAAAGAGGAGAATTGAGTGGATAATTGGGGACTGGGTAGTTCAGGCAGCAGAACAGAGGGGCATTTAACTATTATATATTTGTTTTGTTGCTTTTAAAATCAAGACATAATGTGAATTGTGCTGCTATAAACATTCAAGTGCAGATATCTTTATTATAGGATGTCTTTTGTTCCTTTGGATAGATCCCTAGTAGTGGGATTGCTGGATCAAATGATATTTCTATTTTTAGCTCTTTGAGGTATCTCCAGATTACTTTCCACAGGGGTTGTACTAATTTGCAGTCCCACCAGCAGTGTAAGAGTATTCCAATCTCTCCACATCCACGCCAGCATTTGTTGTTTTGGGACTTTTTAACAAGGGCCATTCTCACTGGAGTTAGGTGATATCTCACCCATCAATACATGAATGGATTAATAAAATGTGGTATATAGATACCATTGAATACTACTCAACTACAAAAAACAATGGTGATCTAGCACCTCATATATTTTCCTGGATAGGAATTGAGCCCAACCTTCAAAGTGAGGTATCACAAGGCTGGAAAAACAAGCACCACATGTACTCACCATCAAACTGGTACTAACTGACCGACACTAAGGTGCTCACATAGTAGTAATACTCACTGGATGCCAATGGGGATGGGGTGGGAGTAAACCCACAACTAATGGAAGCAGAATGCACTGTATGGGGGAGGGACACACTTGTAGCCCTGGCGTGGGTGGGGCAAACAACATTATATGTAACCAAAATGTTTGTACCCCTATAATATCCTGAATAAATAAATAAATAAAATCAAGACATAGTATTTCTGTTACATTATTTTATTCAAGTAGAAAATATTTATATTATTTGAGTTCAGATACTTAGGAGCTAAATTGTCTGACACGCAAAATTAACCTACATTTAGACCTTTTTTTTTTTTTAAAGAGACAGCATCTCACTATGTTGCCCAGTCTGGAGTACAGTGATTATTCACAGGTACAACCATCGTGCACTTGTAGCCTAGAACTCCTGGGCTCAAGTGACCTTCCTGCCTTAGCCTCCCAAGTAGCTGAGACTACAGAGAACCTGTGCTACCATGCCCGGCTAGATTTAGGATTTAGACATTTTTTTTGTTAGAATTATTGCTTCTTAAATTTTACTTGAAGAGTAACAGTAAGACTGAGGAAAACAAGCCTAGGACATCATATGCAACCGGATTAAATGCCTTCTAATCAGTACTACAGGCCTTTCTTTTTTATTTTAATAGATTCAGGGTGCACAGGTTGAATTCCATTGCATGTATACATTGTATAGTGGTAAAGTCTGGACTTTTAGTGTACCCATCACCCGAATAGTGTGCATTGTACCCCATGAGTAATTTTTCAGCCATAACCCCCTCCAACACCCTCTTTTGAGTGTCCAATGTCCATTATGCCACTCTGTGTGCCCTTATGTAGCCATAGTTTAGCTCCCACTTACAAGTGGGTACATGCGGCATTTACTTTTCTGTTCCTGAGTTGCTTCACTTAAGATAATGGCCTCCAGTTCCATCCAAGTTACTGCAAAAGACAATGTTTGTATTCTTTCTTATGGCTGAGTAGTACTGTATGGTATATAGATTTAGACTTTTTAAAAAAATCTCAGTGTTCCAGAATAAATACCTATCACATTTATAGATCTGTATAAGGAGCTGACTAATGGAAACTTTAAAAAGGCCAGACCATCTGTCAGGACATTAAGTATTATTGGTCCTTACTCACACATCCCAACATGCCTTAACACTTTCAGTATTACAACAGTATCAAATATGTCTACTCCTTTATACTCACCTTCCCTTTCATCCCTGGCCTGACACAGGTTTTTGTTTTTTGTTTTTTTTTTTTTTGATATAAAAATTGGGAGGTATCTGGAAGATACGTCACTATCCCTGTTGCTTCTTTTTTGCATAATTATGATTTACAGCGTTTATAATGAGGGAGGTTTTTAAGATTTGTTTCAGCTTTTGTTTTTATTTTTCAGACTATTACAACAGTATCAAATATGTCTACTCCTTTATACTCACCTTCCCTTTCATCCCTGACACAGGTGTTTTGTTTTGTTTTGTTTGATATAAAAATTGGGAGGTGTCTGAAGATACGTCACTATCCCTGTTGCTTCTTTTTTGTGTAAAGTAATTATGATTTATAGCTTTTATAATGAGGGAGGTTTTTAAAATTTGTTTCAGCTTTTGTTTTTGTTTTTCACACTAATATATATATATATATATTTTTTGAGACAGAGTCTTGCTCTGTTGCCTGGGGTAAAGTGCCATGGTGTCAGCCGAGCTCACAGCAACCTCAAACTCCTGGGCTCAAGCGATCCTACTGCCTCAGCCTCCCGAGTAGCTGGGACTACACGCATGCACCACCATGCCCGGCTATTTTTTTCTATATATTTTTAGTTGGCCAATTAATTTCTTTATATTTTTAGTAGAGACGGGGTCTCGCTCTTGCTCAGGCTGGTTTCAAACTCCTGACCTGGAGAGATCTGCCTGCCTTGGCCTCCCAGAGTGCTAGGATTACAGGTGTGAGCCACCGCGCCTGGCCTCAGACTAATATTTTTGAGAGCAAAGAAAATATTCAGAATAAAATAAATCTAGTAACAAGAATTTTCTACTGTCTTCTTTACAGAGAATCCATTGCTATCAATCTAGTGAAGAATTCAAAGACACAAGACTCTTACCAAGATGAGTGTGCAGATTACATCAAAGTGCAGAAATCTAGAGGACTAGAACCCAAAACTTGCTTCAGAAAGATGGAAGAGAGTTCTTTGGAGACCCGTAGATACAGAGAAGCAGTTGATTCCAGATCCAGACATAGAATGTTTGAACAAAGACTACCATTTGAGACTTTCCAGACATACCCAGGACCATACAATACTTCACAGGCAGTGGAAAACCAGTTACCTCATTGCTTACCAGCTTATTCACAAAAGACATATGACTCTTTCCAAGATGAACTTGAAGATTACATCAAAGTGCAGAAAGCCAGAGGACTAGATCCGAAGACTTGTTTTAGAAAGATGAGAGAGAACTCTATGGAAACTTACAGGTACAGAGAAATGGTTGATTCTGGACCCAGGCAAAGAATGTGTGAGCAAAGATTTTCATTTGAGACTTCCCAGACCTACCAGCGACCATACTATATTTCACCAGTAGAAAGCCAGTTACCTCATTGGTTACCAGCTCATTCAAAGAGAACATATGATTCTTTCCAAGATGAACTTGAAGATTATATCAAAGTGCAGAAAGCCAGAGGTCTAGAGCCAAGGACTTGTTTCAGAAACATAGGTGATAGCTCTGTGGAAACACATAGGTACAAAGAAACGGTTGATGTCAGACCCAAACATAGAATGTTGGAGCAAAGGCTCCCATTTGAGACTTTTCATGCCTATCCTGGACCATACAGTATTTCACAAGCAGCAGAGAACCAGTTACCTCATTGCTTACCAGCTCATGACAGCAAACAGAGACTAGACTCTATTAGCTACTGTCCACTCAGCAGAGATTATTTCCCAGAAAAACCAGTACCCTTGAGCCTTAATCAGCAAGAAAATAACTCTGACCCATACAGTGTAGAATCTGAAGTTTACAAGCACCTCTCCTCAGAAAATAAGACCAGTGACCATCAAGCAGGTCATAAACGGAGACATCAGAAGAGAAGACGACACTTGGAAGAAGGTGAAGAAAGGCCTGAGAAGGAGCAATCCAAGCATAAAAGGAAAAGGAGTTATGAAGATACGGAGTTAGGCAAAGATAAGAGCATCCGACAAAGGAAAAGAGAGGGAGATAAAGTCAGGGTCAGTTCAGGAAAGCTTAAGCATCGAAAAAAGAAAAAAAGCCATGATGTACCCTCTGAGAAAGAAGAACGTAAGCACAAGAAACAGAAAAAGAAAACTGTTGAAGAAAGGACAGAAGAGGAGATGCTGTGGGATGAGTCTATTCTTGGATTTTGAACTTTTAGTTTTGTTTACCCAGGGAGTAATTGAAGAAAACAGTTAAGAATATGTATTTAGACAAAGACAGGAGCATCTGATGAAGAAAGGGAGAGGTAGATAACAGTCATTGTCAGTTCAGAAACAAATTGTTTGTGTAAAAATTTAAATTGAATTGAAAAAGAAATATAAAGCCTAAACCTAGCCTGTGAGAAAGAACATAACATAGGGAGAACATGGGAGAAAAGGAAACTTGTTGAAGAAAATGTAGAAGAGTTAATGTTTGGGGATGAGTCTACTCTTGGATTTTGAACTTTTAGTTTGTTTACTCAAAGACTAATTGAAGAAATAAGTTAAGAAAATGGATTTAGACAAAAACAAAAGCATCAGATGAAGAAAAGGAGAGGTAGATACAGTCAGTGTCAGTTGAGGAAAACTGATTTTTTTAAAACTTGAAATTTAATTCAAAGAAACAAAAATGCCTAAACCTAGTCTCTGAGAAACAGGAACATAAGAACACAAGAACATAACAAAAAGAAGCCCATTGAAGAAAAGACAGACAAGTCAGTGCTTTGGGATGAGTCTACTCTTGAACTGTGAACTTTTTAGTTTTGTTCTCTCAAGGTTGAAGAAGTTGAAGAGATTGGTTTCATGAGTTTCATGTTATTTGAATTTTTCTAGGTGGACGTTACTTTAATATCTAACAAAAGCCAAGTGAAGTACAAGTATTCAATATGCCTTTTCCTCAAGTTATTTTCCCTCATTTTCTTTAAAAAAAGGAAAAAAGAAAAAAATTATTACATGTTTCTTACATATAATGTAATTTCCCTAAATGAAATCGTCTCTACTTCTGTTCATCAAATTGCTGTGATAGTGAACTATTTACTCATGGGAAATAATTTATTTTAAATGGGAATTATCAAGTGTTGCAGAAATCATTCCTTGTTTGGGTTTGTGTTGGTGATATCTTGTTGTGTGTGTGTGTTAATGTTTCTTGGCTTTCTCCAAGGAAAATGTATGAAACAAATTAGACTGATTTTTTCTTTGTTAAACCTAATTTGCAGTGTATTTTTGTATTTTCTAGTTCTGAAAGTGGAAAATGAAACAGTCTATAATAAACTTAGATGATATATAGTTTTAAAAAGCTCTGAAAAAGTGCTGATACAAAAATCAGTCTATATTCTGGAAATGTTTATATTAAAGTGTTTTAATTTCTACATATTGTTTTATGTATATGATCATTTCCATCCAAAGATGATTGTTTTGGGAGTGAGGGGTGCAATAACTAAACCGTTTACACTTAATACCTCTCAGGAGATCACACTGTAAACTTTTAATAATTTTATTTCTTCTGTAGCTTGCCTAGTAGAAGCTAATATTCAGTCTCAAGCTCAGTTCTAGTTTAGAAAACTATGACCAACTAAATGCTTGGAACTGAGGAAGGAAGAATTTATAGGTGGTAGAGGGCCGTGAGAGTGTGTTACATTTAAATTGTTTGATTTTAACATTTTTTTTACTCTGGTGCTCCCTTTTTTTATTATCAAAACCTCCAGTAAGCATTTAAGCATCACTATGATATAGTAGAAAGTGTAATGGCCTGGGAATACAAATTCTGGGATTCTGGTCTCAGTTACATTATCAGATTGCTGTGTGACCTTGTGAGAATGTCATTGGAATCCAACATGAAGTCATCAGGAACAGGAAAAAATAGGTTATAATATTCTTTTCATGTGTTAATCCTATCAAAAAAGCAAATAAATTTAGATGGTGTTAGATCTGCATTTAGGCAAAACAATTAATGGTTGTTTTTTTTTTTCTTTGAGATTTGAATAAAATGGTAAATGTGAGCTGAAGCATAATATAGGATTGGTTGGGTTTATACCTACTTGGATGAGCAGTCCCAATGAGAGTTAGATCATCCCCAAATCAACTTTTCTTCTGTGAAACTTGGTATAAGATTATTTTATGCTACAATATCACTACCCCCCTTTTTAAAACACATCTTGTGTACTGGTGAAAGGAGAGGGGAAAGAATAATCAGGGTAAAACAAGTAGACTGTGAATTATCAGCCACAAATTGGTAAATTCTCTTTCCTGAGCACACCAAAAATTCAGCATTTTTCACAGAAAGTACAAGACAAGACCAATCGAGTTGCCAGCATTTTTAAAATTGATGAATTCTTTTGCAGAAGTTTATTTTGTGTTTAAAGCTGGGAGGATTCATAACGACATATTATAAGAATATTCACTAAGCATGGTGGACTTTTAAAAATAAATAGATATAATGATTCATTAAAATTAACTGAACACAATTTTAAACTACAGTGGGTAAGTCATGCAAATTTTAAAAATTAAAACCATTTAAGTTGGATGGTATAGCAAGTGGAGGGAGGGAAAAGGGTATGGTATTGATTACAGTCTTGGAGAATTCACCAGTGGCTTGCGCTAGAAGTGGTTTTTAAAAATTTTAGGACAGAAGCTTTTTTGCCAAAAATAAATTTTGTGTTTACCTCACCATAAAATAAACTTTGTGTTAACCTGAAAACATAAATTTCTGGTTGAAGCTAGGGGAAAGGTCCTGGAGCTCAACTTTGGCACATTTGATCTGCACCCAACTTTTGCCTCTGAGTACTTGGAGGTAAGAGTATATATAAATCAAGATACTTAAATATATATGCAGGATCCAAAATGATCTTCACTTCTGGAGTTGAATGCTGAATCCACTAAGATGAAATTTAATAGTACAAATAATAAATCCTACATTTGGCTATTTCAATATAGAAACATTTGAGGAGACATAGTATAAGATATTACATGTGAAAAGGTTAAGAGTTATATTACATGTTTGGTTTGAAAGATTAATATCTTACTCAGATATAGAGTCACATATAATTAGAGGCAAATATATCGAAGACAGTATTTGGAACAAGTTAATAGCACTTCAGAAACAAATCCTGAACTGGCTGGAAGATACAAGGAGGCAAGTGTTGGCCAAATTTGGAAAATAAATCATAAATTGGAGCTATAGAAGAAAATAGAATTGACTGTCCTGTTATATGCACGCATTGAACAAATAAGAACTTACTTCCGGCATTGTGCCAGGAAAGAACCTGAGGAAAAAAAAAAAATGAACACAGCTTCTGTTCCACAAAAAGCTCATAGTCCAACAGAAGAAATGGACCAATAAACAGACAATTGTAATATAATTTGATAAAGGCTACAATAGGAGTGATAAAGGATGCTGTGGGTAGCAAGGATAATACCCTTAATAGGATAGGAAGAGAGCATTCAGGAAAGCCTTCCCAAAGTAAGTAACATCTAAGACTTCTTTCAGTTCAAAGATTTATTTCTCTGATATGTCCACATGACTCTCTAATAGGTATTTCAAACTTAAGATAGCCAAATAGAATGCCTGTTTCTGGCATTACCAATTATTCATCTCCCAGTTTCCCCCATTCCTATGAAACTATTCAATCGATCAAGCCTAAAACCATTTTTGAGCATCTCTTTTATCCTACATTAGACCATTAGCAATTCCCTTTGTTTATATTACCAAAATACCTCTTAATATTCAGTTCTCTCCATCTTTACTGCCATCACCCTAATATGAGACATCATCATTTCTTGACTAAAACTGGGAAAATGGGTTTGAGAGGAATTGAAACATTGTAAGTCATCACAGATACTGAATTACTGGTATGTGAAGAAAACTCCACAGAATAATCAAGAGATCAAAGAGAGCTGTGAACTGAGTCCTTGAGGATTTCAGAACTATCCAGCATATATTTTCCTTCAGAAGAACAAATCCACATACAGAAAGAAATTGGCTAGTTTCAGAAATCAAATTAAACAGGGCAGAAATATTGTGGGTAAGGGAAAAGGAAAGTTCAGTATGGTAGGGGATAGGGAAAGAATCCAGAGAAAGCAGATCCCAGTAAGCATTATAATAGCAAAATAAACTTCTATAGATCATAGTAACACCTTGGAAGACAAGACCTGTAGGATGAGATGTGAACAAACCAGAAAAATGCAGACACGAAGGAGATGAAAACTCTTACCTAGTATTTTTAAATGAGCTGAAGGAAAGAAAACATTTAAAGCTTTGAAACAGCATAAATCAGAAAGAGACAACACGGATGTGAAACAAAAACTGATAGAAATAAAAAATGATTATAAAAAGAAAAAATTCATAAATGAAGACTAACGGAAGAAATACAAGAGAAGAGAAAAAGCATTGTGAAGATAGGGAAATAAAGAGGAAAATGAAGATAAACAGAATTTTTAAATATACAAAACATTAATGAAAGTATTATTAATAGATAAAAGTCAGCCAATAGAGATACAATTAAATTTGTTATAATGGCTGCTGTGTTGTGCTTCCCAGAACCACTCTCACCCCCTGCCACATGTTTTCAGGCCAGAGGCACTTAATTTCTCCAACTTTTGGGGAATTGGCTTCATCTGAAGACAACTGCCTCTCCTAAGGTTATGTTCTCTTCTGGACACAGCCTACATCCGGTGGTAGGATGATGTATGCAAAGGCCAGGCTTTCCACTTCAATTTTGGGCAACTCTGAAAGGCCATCCTAGCTTCAGAGTGCCCAATGGGATTAGCTGAGGCCTTTGTTGTGACTGTATCACAGTTCAGTTTCTATCTTTGCTACTCTTACCTCCCTCAGTACCTCACAAGTGTTCTTTTGAGCATGCCCTGTAATTTGCATACAAACAAATCTTTATCTCAAAGTCATTTCCCCCCAGAACCTCACCGAAGACAGATGGTAACAGAAGGTGTCCTAAGGAACAAATCCCCCAAAATGTAATTTCAGAGCAGACAATGTCTGAATCCTGTCATTGGTACTGGGTAAAATAATGATAGTAGGTAGTCCCTGGTATGCTATGCAGTACAGTTGTTAAAACTTTCACCAGTAATACTACTGGAAAGCAATGTACATGCAAGTGTAATATCTCAAGCAATTGAGAGGATTGGGGGAAATAGCAATTATATGAAAGGCTTTCTGCAGGCTTTCTGAGTATCATTGATGCTTTGGAGAGAGAAAATGAAAAGCTAAAGGCTAAAAGAATTAATCACCAATTTAGGGCAAAATGTAAAAGAAGAAATCCTTGGTAGCATATAAAGGGACTTTCATCTCTTTGTTTTCATCCCACCTACATGTTTTCAGGCCAGAGGCACTTAATTTCTACCCCTGAACCCTCTGAGCTCTAGGATTGCCTGATAATATACAGAATGATCAGTTAAATTTGAATTTCAAGTAAAGAGCTAATTTTTATAAATATGTTCCATATAATATTGGGGTCAAACTTATATTAAAAATTCATTATTTATCTGAAATCTAAACTTAACTGGATGTCCTTGTATTCATTCTTTTTTTTGCTAAATGTGGTAATCCAACCCATTTCTCCCAATTAATGGCTACCATATTCCTCTTGCATGAAGATAATATTTTGCCCTCTAACTTCCAAGACAACAACCCCCCACTCCAGTATCTATCCCCACCACTCTTGTTGGTCACTAGGCCAATAACTATGATCAAACTGCAATTTAAGACCTGTTGATCTGATAAGGGAAAAAAGAGGGACTATGTACATTCTAAGGGAAAAAAAAAGAACTAGGAAGGGGCTTGGTGGGATTGGGCTCAAATGTTAGGTATTTTGTGGCCAGACTAAGGGGGATAGGGATCTCCAAGAGGAACTCCATAGTGTGTGCATGTTGGGGGGGGTGTGGAAATAGAGAATAAGGATGGGCTTCCTACAGAAGGAGCAGCCTACCTGAGGGTGTATGATGGAAGATATGGAAAAGGAGGATATGGTCAGACCAGGAAGACTTGACAGAGTTATAGTCACTCTGTTTGGAAGCAGGGGTTACTATGGCTTGAATGTTTTTGTCCCCTCCAAAACTCATGTTGAAATTTAAGCCTCAATGTAACGGTGTTGAGAGGTGGGGCCTAAGGGAATGTGTTTAGGTCATGAGGGCGCTCCTCTCAGGAATGGATTAATGCCACTATAAAAAGTGCTTGCAGAAGTAGGTTTGCTTTCTTCCACTCTTCTGCTATGTGAGAAACAACATTCATTCCCTCCAGAGGATGCACCAAGCCTGCCAGCGCCTTGATCTTGGACTCCTCAGTCTCCAGAACTGTGAGAAATAAATTTGTTTTTTATAAATTACCTAGTCTCAGACATTCCATTATAGAAGAACAA